TGCTGTTGGAAAGACATATTTGTTTGAAACCCTAATAGGAGCAAGTATTGTTTCTATTTATTTTTTTCTGCACATATAAGATATTTGCATTTCATTTCACATTAAAGGGGATTTTGTAAAACGGCCTGGGGGAGCTGAAATGCAACCTATGATGCTGTTTCCGTCTGAAAATGAATTTAAATTTTCAAAGAGCTAATTTAAGGACTTTTGAAATATAACCAGTTTATAATCTGAGGATTTTATGTATCATTCCAACTGAAACAATTTGATTATGATACCAAGGAATTATTGTTATTTTTGTTAGACAATACCGGCATTCTGGTTATAGGAGAAAATATATTTTTCAGAGATGCATACAAAACTAGGCAGGGATGCAAATTGAGGATGTTCAGGATTTATTTTAAAATACTTCAACAAAGACAATAAAAATTTCAAAAAGGAATAGATGAAGTAAATGAAGCAAAATCTTGCTAATTACTGAATCTGGAAAATGGGAATATGAGACTATAATTTATTGCTTTCTACTTCTGTGAATATTGGAGAAATGAGTATACGAGAGTTTGGTTAATGTAGCAGCCATGCAAGATTCCTACAGGACTATGCAAATTGGGTTAATTACTAGCAACACAAAGGAATGACATCAGAGGTCCATTAACTTGGGGAGAGATGAATTTGTCTTTTGATAGTTCCTGATATGTGAGAGAAAAAAGAAGTCAAAGGCAGAACATATGGAAAAGTAATTTCTTAATTATTTGAAAGATATTTTTTGTTTTTCTGAGATGTACAAAAAGGCTTAATTCAATACTGAATAGATCAGAAACAATGTGGTAAGGGGCAAAGCACATTCAGACATGATACTCTTTTTGAGCTTCCTTTATTTAAATTGTAAGAGTACAGGCAAATCATTTCTGGTTTTTGCACTTTCCAAAAAATTATAAAATGTGCTAGGGCGCCTGGGTGGCTCAGTTGGTTAAGCAACTGCCTTCGGCTCAGGTCATGATCCCAGGGTCCTGGGATCGAGCCCCGCGTCGGGCTCCCTGCTCAGCAGGAAACCTGCTTCTCTTCCCACTCCCCCTGCTTGTGTTCCCTCTCTTGCTGTCTCTCTCTGTGTCATATAAATAAATAAAATCTTTAAAAAAAAAATCATAAAACGTGGATAAGAGACCACTTTTTGGTTTCTTCTGTGGACTGTAAACTACATGCAAAAGCTGGTTATCAGTAATAACTAGTAAATCCTATTTGGTAATAAGCCAATTATTTGGTAAACTTTTCAAATCAATTTTAGGGAGAAGGTGGAGAAGAAAGCTAAAGGATAAAAACACAGATAGTTAGAGTTGAAGAAGGAAAGAAAAAAAAGAAGAATCTAGGTCCTTAAATGAGTATTAACTAATGGTACCGTCACCCTGCTCTGGTATGTTTATTCCTTGTGCTACTCTTAACAGTTTTTGACTTCTGAGGAAATTGGACCTTCCTTAAAAATACTCTTTAAAGCCTCAAGAAATGCAAATTCCCGGTCCTCGCTATGCCACCGTCAGCCACATAGAATTTCTTAGCCTCAGTTTACTAATCTGCAAAAGAGGATTCAACTAGATGACCTCAAAGTTCTCTTCCAGCTGAAACATTCCACAACACAGTTTTTCATGGGTATCTTTTTATCTTTAAAATCTTCAGATACTTTATTTTGAATAAGTTGCACTACAAAGGCCTGGGAAGCAATTAACCACACCTACCGCACAAGCTGAGTCCCAGCACAAAAATTACCTGAGAGTAGACAAACAAGACTAGAACTGATTCTTCTGCAAGGGCTAAGGATCTCTTATTCTTTCCCTTTCTTCAGACAGTAAGTGCTAAGGGATGATTTCCTGGTAAATTTCAATCAGAAATAAAAAAAAGAGAGAGAGAGAGATCTAAATTCATAAGTAAGTCACTTTTAATATAAAGTTTAAATTGCAAGTAATTTTTCTGGACCACGTATATAAAGGAATCTACTTTAAATCTGCTTTATTGGTAAACACAAGGAAATATGTCTGGGAAATATATCTGGCCAGTACTATAACAAGAAGGAGAGAAAATAAAGAATCCATATTCTATCTCATTCTAGCTCTTATTTTAAAAGAAAAACACTGGAAGCCTACAGTAAGTATTATATACTTTGAGACATTTTTATTTTCAGAGATAAAGCATATCCTATTTGTGGCTTCAGTGCGCTTTACCACTCATGCATTATGTAGGTGTCTCAAATTGTAAAAAAAAAAAAAAAAAAAAATTTATGGCCTGTAAAATGATTTTTGACTGTGCTTTTGAAAGGCCACATGAAATTTAACATGTCTAGTCTGGATTCTTTCAAACTTTCTGGTCAATTATTCGTAAATAACAGGCACAATTTTTCACTTTTTCTACAGGGAGGAAAGAATTGTTAAAATGACTGGAATGGCTAAACAAAACAAATGAAAGAGAGAATATAAAGAAAAGAGACATCAGCCCCTGTAATGTGTCAACCATAAATAATAGTCAATAGAAACCTATCACATCCAGTCATGTACATCATCTCAAGTGAAAGTCAGAGATAATCGGGCCAGAAATACCATCTAGTAAAAGGGTCATCTGTGTCACAAAGATACTGAGCTTGGGAAATTACTGACAAAGAGTCAGCTGTTCCCAAAGCATCATTCAGTCCAAAGAACTGAGCATCTAGAAAGGAATAAAAACAAAGGATCTGTTCGAAATGCAAAGTGGAGGTGGGAAACATGAAAGAGTGTAAAAAGGAACCTTCCTCTTCCCCAACTTTGGGACATCACCTCTTCATAGAGATCCCAACCCTCGGGCAAAGGGCCCTTCCTGGGTGAGAACACCCCTCTGGGACTGGCCTCCAGGAGGCGGGCCAGAACTCCCTGCTCATGAAACAGCACTGCTGTCTGTGTGGGTGTAGTGCTCTCTGAGAAGGTCACTGTGGAAATAGGACACAAGGCCAGAGCAGGAAACCAGCCGGAGTCAAGAGTAACATAGCACCCTTTTCCCACTTTGCCAATTTGCTAAACCAGATCCGAAGAAATGCTATCATTCCCCAAGACAAGATGTCTTACTCCAGGATGATGACTACACACCCTTAGGGCACACCCTGACACCCACACCCACCCTCTCTTTTTTTCCTCCCTCTATTAACATACTTTGTCTCTATTCAAAATGAACCTTGCCCCATTGACATCTCTTAGACACAGGCATTCTCCCAGTGTTCATTCCAGAAATTAAAGTGAGAATAAGCCCAGGCCTCTCCTCCTCTCCTCCCCTTCCACTGTTCATCTCCTAAGTCATAACCCAACTCCAAATCAAAACCCCATCATGGTAAGCACCCTTTGTATGGCATTTTTTGCTTAGCTCAGTGCCCCAGAACCTAGGATGGTGCAAGGAACACAGCAGGCCCTCCATAAATAGGGAAATAATCTATTAAATTCCCCAGCTGACTATTACATCATCATCAGACATTTCCTTTTCCCATTCTGGATCCCAAGGGCAATCATCAATTTTTCTACCATCATGACACACAATCAAATCTATCACCCATATTTTCATCTTATATCCTGACCCAAAAGCCAAGCTCTTAAAAGGCCCAGACATTTCAGCAGGGCTGTTTTTCGCTTGGGCTCTGACTTTAAAACTCATCCTGATAATAAAGCTCTCAAGAATCTCCTCCTTGTTCATCTCCTCATCCAAAGTCACAGTCCCGCCCACTTAAGGACTTGCCTCCCCCATCAAAGTCTCTAATTGAGAACATACCTCTGCTCCGGGAATATTTACTCCCACTTTCTCCAGTCCTTTTCCAAAAAGCACATGCACCAATTAAACTTCAAACCGCCCCCCTCAAAAAAAAAAAAATATATATATATATGTATATATATATATACATATATATATATATATGCCTTGTTATACCAGACTTCTATCAAAACCCAACAGTCCATGGAATGCTGCCCTCCTGTCTATATTATTGCTTTATGTTATCAAGAACCCATCCATTCCCTAGGGTATTTCCTTCATTCCCAAAACCGTAAACATACATTATTGAACCCATCATAGGTAGTAAAAGTACAGAAAAAAGGAAAGACAACAATAGATGTGGGGAAATGATCAAATGTCTTCTCTCCACTCATTACCCCTCTCCTCACTGCAAGTATCTGACTGTTTAAATTTATTGCTTCTATCCTTGCAAGAGCAAGGTACATTTTGCCTAGTGAAGCCTCTCTTTGTTTTGCTGATTCAGAATTGGGAGGGAATATATTAAGAAGAGATAGGATTACTCTAGGATACACTAATTTTTTTTTCAAAATGTATAATCATGATGGATCTCCCCATAATTGCTGGGCCCTTGAAATCTAATTTGCCTAAGTCAGTCTCAAACTAGAAACTGAGAAAGAAAGCAAAATCATAAAAGTAAAGTCCATCTTCTAATCATCACCAAGAAGTCATCTACTGTAGCCAGAAGCCTCCAAACTGAGGAATTCACTGGTGAAGAAGTCATGTTGAGTTCTCAACTCCCATTACCTTTTGCCACAGAATCACTATACCATTTTCCTTTAGTAAGTGAGGTTGGCTTGGGTTGAAAATGTGGAACATTAAAGAAGGTATTAAAGAAATCAGCCAATCCCTTTCTCACCCCATACCCTCCTCCAATTTCTGACTAACATTGATAATCTATTGTCACATATAACTCTACCGCCTACCCTGTAAATAATAATAGCTCCCAGACTCTGTACTTTACATATATTCTCTATTTTAACCCATCCCAAAAGCCTGGTAGGTAAATTTTAATATTCCCATTTTATAGCTGTGAAAACTTGAGGTCTCAAAGGAAAATGATGCCAAAAACTTTGTCAGCTAATAGTCATTTAAAATAGGCCATACCACTCCTTTGTTAATATTATAAATTACTGAATATCTTAAAAAACTATATGGATTTAGAACTCCTCTAAGATTTTTGAATTAGAAAATTTTAAAATGCATACCTGCTTTTTCCTTGAATTTGCTTTGGGAAACAGGCCTGCTGACAACACAGATGTAAATGGAGAACAGCACAGCTCAGGAAAAGGGTTTGGAATAGATGGCATTTCCAGAACATCAAGATCTTTCTTTTTTCTCCTACACCAAGAGAACATAGGAGGTAATTTACATAAAGCAGAATGTAAAATATAATTGCTGACAGGATTAAGAAGTTAAGGGCCAACATGTACCACTCTGTGACAACACTAATATTATATAAAGTATACAGCAAAAGTCTGTGATGTACTTTCTGTGGGCCAAAATAAAATTCGTTAATTGATATAAACCAATTTTCTATAGTATTCCTATCTTTTTTGGGGGGACCTTTAAAAAAATCACTAGGTATAGAAACCCCATTTCCAGCATTTTCGATAATTTTCCTAACCTGAAATACAGACTATATAATTATTGATGCAAAAACCATCCTGAGAAGTTAGACATTTCTATGGATCCATTAAATCGACAAAGTCTACAAACATTTAGTGAATTCATCCCTATGCTATTTTACTAATCACTTTTGGAAGTGATGGTTTATTAATTATAGCTGTGGTTCATCTCACTTCAAATTTCATTCACAATGTTGCCCACACACAGTCTGTTGATTTTTCAAGTGCTTATAGATACTAAACCGCAAGGCAGTGTTTTTGAAGAGGTAAGTGAATAGAACTTGCTAGTATAAATGTACTCTAGTCCACTGCAGAGTAATTTTAACTTCAGTGAAGTTGAAGCACTTTGAAAATCTGGAGGAAAAAAAAGTACCATTTCAATGTATGAATATAAAGGACTACAGATTTTTGTATTGTTGCAGTCTTTTTCTTTCCTAAAGTACGTGCAAAATTGTGAACTCTAAAGGCACTTAGTGCTGAATGCTATGGAGCTTGGGAAACCTTTTAAAGCCTCTATTCTTCCTGCTGAACAGCAAGACTGCTCAAATGTCAATCCGTGCTTTGCCTCTCCAGGGTCGCTGTAAGACTCTATGTGGGAGGTGAACTCATTTATGCGATGATTTTTTAAATTTATAAAATAAAAAGGATTAGGTTTTTTTGTTTTGGTCTGGTTTGGTTTGGTTTTGGGGGGGGGGGTGTTTGTTTTTTGGTTTTTTTGGTACAGGGCCACGAAGAGAGGAAAAGGGGGTGATCAGCCTGGCCTCCTAGTTCACACGGATGGGCAGAGGTGAGAGCGACCAGGAGCTCTCAATGAAACGGTGATGCTATTTATAAGGCGCGGCGAGATCGCAATGTCCTGCTGAGCCGGTAGGAGCCAGCTCAAAGGGAATTGTCTTCAGAGACTTTCACAAACTTGGCCCAGCTCTGGGCACATGGCTCACCCCCTAGGACCGCCTCCTCAGCCCCTCGCCGGCTGCCAACCCAGGACACTCCCCCGCGCCCTCCGAGGGCTGCCTACCTGTCTGCAGCACAGCCGCGGGTCCCGTCCGGAGGGGGCAGGAGCGCCCGCGCGTGCAACCAGGGGGCAGGCTCCAGGTCGCGGGCGTCGCCCCTCCCCTGGGCAGCGCCGCACACCTGGGCGGCCAGCGGCGAGTCCTGGGCAGCCGCCCTACCCGCGGCGCTCTGCCCATCTTGCAGGGAAGTGGTCATTGTCGTCGGCCGGGGGGTCTCGGGTGTCACGGGAGACCCGGCGCGGGGGGAGAGGGAGGCCCGGCGGCGGGAGGCGAAGCGCCTGCTTGGCAGCCCGAGCGCGCTGCAGGTGCGGTGGCCTCGCCGCCCGCGCTCAGGGCCCGGGCGGCTCAGACGCGCGGCCGAGCAGTCGGCGAGGCGGCGGGGGAGGGGAGGGGGCGGAGGAGGAGGGTGGGGAGAGGGGAGGAGCGGCCGGTGGGTGGGGGCCGCGGGCGGCGGGGCGAGGCGCGGAGGGGGCGGGGAGGGCGCCGCGCGCCGGGCTGGCCCCGCACCCGGCCCGGGACGCGCCGGGGCGCTGGCGGGGGTCCCGCGTCGCCGGGACTCGGCCCTCGGCGGCCCGCGCGCGAGGTCCGGGCCGCCACCTCCGCAGGTGGGCACCCGAGCGCGAGGCTGAGTCCAGGGTCAGGGCGGGCCCGCGCCGCCGGAGGCGGGGACCCATGTGAGCCGCGCTCCCGCAGGGCTTGCCTAGCGGAGCGCAGGCGGGGCTGGGGTCTGGGAGGCGCTGACCCCCAGACCCTTCCTTTCTTCTGGCTCTGAGATCACCTAAGCTGTAGCTGGGCCGCCATGACAGGCCCCACCGTGCCCGGAGGCCAGGGGCCATGGGGCTAGGTTTGCCCCAGTCCTTCCCCCACGTGCCTCTTCTTCCTTCCACTCCGACAGCCTTAGACGGGGCGGGGGGAGCAAGGGGTGGATGAGGGAGCAGGGAGTACAATCCATGCAGCATAGGAAACTACTGAGATGTTTCAGAATTCTTAGTAAGGCGTGAATAATCCTGAAGGTGTCTTGGGAATAAGAAAAAAATATTAATTTTCTTTTAATAAGAGCAGCCCTCGTGTAATGAAGCCACACTCCGCCTTGTCCTATTCCACCCTCGCAACAGCCTCGCAAATTAAATGTTTATCCCATTTCACAGATAAGGAAAATGGGCCTCAATAGCTTGCCCAACATAGCCCTAGCAATCAGTGCAGTTAAGCTTCCAATTCAGAAGATCCGGTCTTAAAAACCCAGACTATTTGAAATAGTACAGTAGTGCCTCCTTCTGTGATTTCGCTTTCCTCCATTTCAGTTAGCTGTGGTCAACCTCCTTCTGGAATAGATGACCTTCCTTTTAAGATACAGTCAGAAGGTCAGTAGCTTCCTCTCAATGCACACCTCATTCCCCTCACTTCATCTCATCAGGTAGGCATTTTATCATCTCACATCATTAGAAGAAGGGTGAGTACAATTCAGTAAGATATTTTGAGAGAGACCCCATTTATATGACCTTTATTATAGTATATTGTTATAATTGTTCTATTTAATTATTAATATGATTGAATCTCTTACTATGCCTAATTTATAGATTAAAATTTATCATACATATGTATATAGAGCATAAAACATGGTATATATAGTATATAATATATGTATATAAGATATATTATATACATAACCAGTATAGGTGGTTCAGTCTGGTATTATCCATGGTAGGTATCCACTGGGGGGGGTCTTGAAACATATTTGTGCAGATAAGGGTGGATTACCGTAATTACATTATGCTCACCCTCTGAGGTGCAACAATCCTACTCTGAAATTCTGGGTGCTGCTCTGTTTCTGCTCTTCCTGTAGGTTCCCCCATCCCAGTGCACTGTTTTACACACTCTGTTCTTTGACCAAATTAGGTAACACATGTCCCTGGCATCTGTTTCACCAGGTTTTCTTAACCTCCACAACACCTGCCCAGGGCAAGGCAAACACTACCTCCTGAAGAGGTGGGCAAAACCCTTTCTTCATATATACACACACACATACACCACAGCACCAACCACTACCAACCAGGGGTCACTAACTCCCAGCTTGTGTGGAAACGGGGAGTCCTCCACAGAAGGAAAATCTTTGGGTCAAAGAGCTTATGGAATCTAAGTTCTTCATTTTTCTGATGTCAAAACTAATACCCAATAAAGAGCGGTATCGGTTTGGGTGACATAGTGGGTGTGGTCTCTGGGAGACTTTCTACAATGCAATAGCCATGGAAGGACAAAATGGTAGTTCTCCTGACGGATAAAATAATAGTACTCCTCATGGTGAAAGTTAACATGTATTGATGCTGTATGCCAGGCAAAGCCCTCACATCCAGGTCCCTGAAAATGGTCTGGATTCTACATGCGGGTTTTAAGAGGATTTCATGTAAAAGCATACAGTTATATTGAGGCCATTCCAGCAAAATAAAAAAGAGGTTATGTATTTGCAGATAACTTGAACTAAAAACATAAAGAAACAACTCCTCCTCTTCCTTCTTCCTCCTCCTCTTCTTCTTCTTCTTCCTCCTCCTTCTTCTTTCTTTCTTCTTCATCCCTATATTCTTCCAAAATTCTTGGAGGCACCCATTTCTCCTCTAAAATGATATACTCTGGGGTGGGGGGGTGGCTGGATGTCTCAGTCGGTTAAGCGTCTGCCTTCGGCTCAGGTCATGATCCCAGGGTCCTGGGTTCGAGGCCCACATCGGGCTCCCTGCTCAGCAGGGGAGTCTGCTTCTTCCTCTTCCTCTGCCCTTGCTCCTATCTCTCTCGCTCTCTCTCTTACATAAATAAATAAATAAAATCTTTTTTTTTTAAAAGGTAAAAAAATAAAAATAAAATGGAATACTCTGAGCTTTTAACAGGAGGGTGAATCAGTGGTTAAAGTTTGTTCCTGCCCTGCTCCCAGCAACACATTCTCTCTCTCTCTCTCTCTCTCTCTCTGTCTGTCTCTCTCACACACATACACACACACACACACACAGAGCAGGCTGTCTTTTTTGTCAGAGAAAAGGATAGGTGAAAACTGTTTATATCTTCGGAATCACTGGAAGGACTATTTCCCAATAGTGTGTCCTGCTCCACTTCCCAGTATAAATGTTTAATCTAAAGAAAGAGTATTCATTTGTTGAAATGAGATCTCAATGGTGTCTCCCCTCTCCAGGCATTTTCTTTTAGTGAAAATCCATGGAGTATCCATTTGCAGTCTTTATGTTCCTTCTCTAAACCCCATGGTAAAAATTATAATACCCACAGTCAGCAGGGGCAAAAGCAAAAAGAACAAGCCTCTGAGGAATGGGACCTAAATAGTTGGATGAATTTACATCTAGATACCTTGAGGCTTTATACCAAGAATTATTAGAATTAGTTCATTCATATTTTTGAAGCAAGCCAACAAAAGAGCTAGTTTTTCTATCTAAAAGGTTTACAAAAAATGATTCTAAATAAAGAACTATGCAATATAAAAGCAGGATACTAGCAGACCTAGTACAGTCTAAGAGAATACAGAGGCATTTTTTCATCAAAAAGGAAGTTATAAAGGGAGATTTTCTTTCCCATAACTGACAAAGATTTCTGAAATAATGAGGCAGATATGTTGGTACCAAGATTTCTGAAACACCAAGGCAGGCAGGTATCTTGGTACCAAAGAGCAGATCCTCCCCTGAGTGGCTGTTGTCCTTTTTGACTTGAACCTGTAAAATTGCAAAGGAAGTGGTTTGTCTCTTGGCCCCTCCCCCACTTTGAGCATTGTCTGCCCCTTTGCGCCTCCTTTTCCTGTCTCTCCCTAGGGATCCTAGCCTTTCTACCCTTCAAGGAAAAGGTGTCCTCCCTGCTTTACTCTCTCCCTTCCTTACTCATCAAATCAAATTTCTTAACCCTTTATGTTGGGAAAGATAACATACATACAGAAAAGAAGTTCATAGACAAAATTGTATGACGACTATCACAAGGCAAATACTGATGTTAGGTCATGAATTGCAGTCAGTCCTCTAAAAGCCTCTCCCTCCAATCCAGATTTTTATGGTAATCAACTCATAGTTTAACCATAAGTATCCACCCCTACACACAATAAAATAGGTTGTCTGGTTTTGACCTTTATATAAATGGAATCATACAGTATGACCCTTTTGTGCTAGACTTGGTTCCTTTAAGGTATTATTTACAATATTCTTTTTCACATAGCTGTAGCTCTTTCATTCTTCTATTGTATGTAAATACCACAGTTTATCCATTCTACTACTGATAAGCTTCTGGACAATTTCCAGCTTCTGACTATTATTAATGCTGCTGCAGTGAACATTTTGTACACATCTCTTGATACACAAGTGTATACATTTCTGGATGGTATATATGAGAAGCATTGTGAAGTCATGGTATGTTTATGTTCAGCTTTAGTAGATTCTGCCAATTTCTCAAAATAATTGTACCAATTTCACAACCAGCAGCATAAGCTTCCCCAGTTCTTCACATCCTTAAGGATTGGACTGTTATTCAAATTTTCACAATAGACATTCTGGTTGAGTATGTCGCCGTATCTTAGGGTGGAACTTGACCTTTCTTGATGAATAATGAGGTTGAGGGCTTTTTCAGGTGATTATTTGCTATTTGGACAAACTCTTTTGGTAAGTACCAATTCAAGTCTCTGCCCATTTTTATGTTGTCTTTTTCTTATTCTTTTATAGACGTTCTTTGTATATTCTAGTTACCAGCTCTTTGTTAGTTATGTTTTGTAGGTATATTCCTTCATTCTGTGTCTGACATCTTATAACTCTTAATGGTATCTTTTGATAAATAGAAGTTCTTAAGTATTAAATAGCCAAATTTATTTTTTATGATTATTTGTTTATATCCTGTTAGAAATTCTCTCTATATATATATTCCAGAAATTTATTGTTTTGCCTTCCACATTTAAATCTGTGAGCCAACAAGACGGATATTTTTATCCTAGGGTACGAAAGTGTGAAGGTGTGAGGGTGTAGAGATTTTTTTTTTTTTTCCGTATAAATAGATAATTTTTACAGCTTCATTCATTGAAAGGATTTTCCTTTCCTCACAACTTTTCAGTGCCTCTTTTGTCATAATTTAATTATGCACCTATCCATGGACTTTTCTGGGCCCTATCTTCTACTCCATTGGTTTATTTATCAGTATTTATAACAAAATCGCATTGCCTCAATTATTACGATTTATAAAAACTCTCAATATTCAGTAAAGCAAGGCATTTCTTTTTTTCTTCAATTTATTAATTTTAGAATTAGCTTCACAAATTTTAAAGAGCTGTTGGGATTTTGATTAGATTGCAATTAGTCTATAAATCATTTTAGAAAGAAATAATATTTTAAAA